CATACCATATCAACTCTATTTCTAGTATTTTTATATAATTCTTCATAAAAAAATTGAATTAATTATCAATTACTCTATTCGTGGTGAGGACACTTCCTAGTCAAATCTTTAAATCTTTTTCAAGCATCACCAAATGCATCATTTCCTTGAGTGAATATTTGTATGACTCTTCTATATGAATTAGTCTTTCCTAGGAAATATATTTTTTTTACAAAGTAGTTTTCTATTTCTTCTCAACTTTCAAATTTCATTCCCAAATTCCTAAACCATTCCTTAACTTTATCTTTCAGCTAATTCATCTAGGTATGCATACGGATCTAACAGCGTGAGCCTACTTGATTGAGTAATGTTGATGTATCATATTCACGATTGCCTTATTTGGTAAGATTGTTATCCATGATATCCAAATATATTGTTTCATTACACCCTTTGAACATTATGAGACCTTGTTGACCAATAATTTGGCTATTGATAGCATTCTATTTTTCTATTTTTACATGAAAAGTCATAAATGGGGTCTCTATCTAACCCATCAAATCGAGAGCATGCACTCGTTGCCTTATAGCTCATTAGTTAAAAAACTCTATTTGGTGTCATGTTCTCAACCAAGTGGTTTAATGAGAGAGAGTCAAATGAACTTCTTGGATATTTACCTAAATCACATTAACTCTCACAATTTTACAGCTTTGAAAGAACAATTAGATTTTTTTTATTACATCTAATGGTGTATCTGTGTGTGTGTGTGTGTGTGTGTGTTAGAATTTGTGTGGCTGAGTTCTCTCTCCCCTAGCCCTTCTTTAGCAACCTCCATAGGTAACATCGGAGGGAAGGAGGGAGAGGGAGAGAGAGAGAGAGAGATGTTGTGATTTTATCTGGCTCCCAGACATCAGGGCCGCCGTTCAATGTCAGAACGGTTTAAATAATCCTCGTGCATTGAACTCAGAGATATCCCCGGATGGAAACAGGTAGCTCTCCAGCTCACAGCGAGCCAGGGAAAGATGCGGGAGGATGGAAAGTCGGGACCTGTTGAGAGGAGGCAAGCCACTGGAAAGCGCGGTGCCCCCGCTTTTGCAGTCTATAAATGAAGGCGATCCGACCGTATCAAAGATTGGAGGCCTCCACCGAGCCCAACCTCCATTGCCTGCCCCCCCCGGGAGACGGCTCGGAAATGCCTGAGAAAGCTGGCAATGCGGTGGCTATCGCCTTCGTGAGGAGATTACGAGCCCATAGATTCTCTCTCTCTCTCTGTCCCACTACATTCATGAGTTGTCTCTGGTCACGCCAGCTCATGTTGTTCCTTCCCGGATTCGGCGGCTGGAAGATTTAGGCGTACAATATACCGGTGCCTCCCCTCTCTCTTTCCCTCTCTCTCCCTTTCGCTACGGCCATCAGAGTGTTCTCATCTCTTCTTCCATGGCGGCCGAGGCTCCACTGATGAAGGAAGCTTCTAGTGAGGTATGTAGCAGATGAGTTCGTACTCGCTAGAGACCCCAGCATCAGCTGCTTCATGTGCTTGCCTGCACACACTCTCTCTCTCACTCTCGCTCTCTCCTTTGGATAATGCATATATCTAGAGCCGTTGTAGTTTCAGAGAGCTGATCTTCGCATAAGCCACAGAACAGCTTCACATAACAGGAAAAAAGGCGGGATGTAAACAATTTTTGGCTCAGCATTGTTGCGGCACGACATTCTAGACATCAAAGGAAAAAAAGGAAAAGCCCGCATCTTTTCTCCCTCCCCCGGTCAGTGAGGCCATAGATATCAGCTAACCCGATTTCTTTCCCTTAATAGAAATCGTGAAAAACGATTGATGTAGTCAATTACCAAGTTCCCAATCCCCTTTAAGGCCTATGAACGGTAATAAACCGGAATAATCCACCATTCTATTCCTTCAAGACGAATCAGCCTGCTGATTTGTGGCGCTATCATCGGAGAATCCACTTTGATGCTCTGTTCTTAGATCTTCCATCCTGTCATTCCCTTCCTCGTATCCTATTTCTTCATTCAAGCTTCTCTGAAGAGATCATCACCCGCTCCAGATTCGTTCACAGAAGCAGTCCCGGATTTCATCGGAAAATTTCGGTGCATCTTCCGTTTAATCCTTCTCAGATTCGGACCAGGGGCTAAGTGAAAAACTATTCAAACGCGAAAGAGTATGAACTCAGTTCCAGACAACGATGGGCGTGTTCTTGATGGATCTTCGCAGATTCACAGAAGTTGAACCAGCTCTGATGATCGTTTTTGGATCAGTAACTAGCCGTAGATGAGAGATTCGGCCTCTCTGAATCCCAGTTCAATCAAGAACTATTTTGTTTTGATGATTGCTCTCGTTTGTCGGATGACTTATCACGCCATTGATGCTCTACACAGATCGAAGCGAAGCGGGTGGCCGACGACGCCGAACTTGTTGAAGAAGATGAGGCTTCTCGAGAAAAAGAGACTGCAGGATCTGGGACTCCCGCCGCTGATCATAAAGAAACAGAAGAAAATAGTAACGCTGACTCCTCTACAGTAGCCGAGAAAGTGGAGGGACAAGGCTCCAAGGTCCCCGAGCCGGAAGTTCTAGGTCAAAAGAAGGATGACGAGGGATCTGCGGTAGAGGAAGCTCAGCGTGGGGATGAAGATGGAGCTTCCGCCAGAAAACCTGCAGAAGAGTCTACAATGGCCGCCAAGTCGTTGGCGGAGGCAGTGGAGAAGCCTCTGCTAGATTCCGGGCTTGAAGTAGTGCGAAACCCTAAAGAACAGGGCATAGATCGTTCTTTCACAGATCATGGCATCATGGAAGAATCTGAGGGGAGAAATGAGACACCCAAAGTCAGCGAAGCTGTGGACGCGCCCACGGATGGCAGCTTCTGCACTGTTGAGGCTAAAGACCCGGAGCTGGAGGAGACGAGAGATTCTGAATCCCAGGCTCTGGGCAAGCAGAAGGAAGAGGAGGCTGTGGGTCAAGAACCAGAAGAAGTTGGATGTGATCTACGTGCTCCTGATCCTGGGCCTGAAACAGAAAAAAACCCTGTAGAAGCTGTGGGAAGTGCCGTGATCAAATCTGAGGAACGGGAGGCAGATCGCACTATTGAGGAACCCGAGGGGAGAAATGAGACACACAAAGTCAACGAAGATGGAAGTTGTCCCGTCGTCGAGGTGAAGGAGCCGGAGCTGGGTAAGACTAAAGATTCAGAAACTCAAGCTCTGGAAGAAGACCTCGCTTCAACAACTAAATCTACCGAATTTTCGGAGGAAGAAGAAAGGGAAAAGGAAAAGGAAAAGGGTTCTGAAACCAACGGGGAGCTTCCCAAAGAGACGAAGATACAGGAGGAGAAATCTGAAAGAACTACCGAGGAGAGAGACGAAGGAGCCGTAAAGAAAGACGAGAAGGCCCGGAATCTGGCCGAATTATTCAAACAGGAAGGAGGCCCGGAAGTTCAGCAAGTAGAAGCTCCTACTAGGCCCTCCAGGTCGTTAATGGCCAAGGTGAAGCACACGATGGAGAAGGTGAAGAAGGCTATCGTCGGAAAATCGCCGCCCTCAAGAACGATCCCTGGAGAATCCGGAGATGGGTCAGGAGGAAAATAAAAGTATTCCCACCATGAATCCACCACACTTTTTTTTTATTGATCCGTCTACCTCTCAAAATCCAACAGGATATTGGGGGGCCATGTTTTCGTTCTTCACGTGCAGATTTTATTTTTTATTTTTTATTTTTTATTTTTTATTTTTTATTTTTTATTTTTTATTTTTGCTTGGGCAAGCTTGGATTGGTGTGGTCTTGTAGACATGAGATGGAGTGATGCACGATTCTGTTTATATCCTCCTACGATATGATTACCATGGTTTATTTATTTAAGCGGCAAGTTCATGGAGTTCGTTTGAAATGATCAGATAGAGTTTGGCTTAACTGTGGATATCTACAGGGGCTTCAGAGAACCCTTGCTGCAGCTACTGCCGGCACGAGTCCCCGTTGACTCTCGTCGGTGAACCTGACCCGCATCAGGAGGATCCATCCACCCGCCACCGCAAGTTTACTCGTGTGTGTTCATCGTCTCGGGCAAGTTGACTCGTTTGGTATGGGGACGGTGCCTCCACGATGAGCCACCGTGGCACTGTTCTTTAAAGCCAACGGGCCCTCGTGAGTCGTAGGGGATGCGCCGTTTTCTTGGCATCTCTCTCGTCCATCGAGACAAGTGCACGCACGGCCCAAGGTGACGACGACGGCGGTGGGTTTGACCACCACCTAATGGAACCGATGTATTCCCTTTCCCCCTCCCTCCGCCGCTCCATTTCCGGGAAACCCTGATCTTATTCTTCTTCGTCCCCGTTGTCCTGTTTGTGGAATTGACCACCGCGCCGCCATTATACGGATGCATTGCACCAGCGAAGGCGAAGAAGGCTCCGACCAGGCCTCGCGTCGTTTCACCCCTCGCTGGGGGCCCACAATCTTCTTCGCCGCCGCCAAGCCAGCCGCCGTTGGCAAAACTCCGGCGAGCCTTATCCGTGAGCTGGGATCGCCGCCGCCAAAGAGCAGCGCAAGTCCTGCTGGGTATTGGGGGAGGACCCAGCAGGTGGGGTCCCTGCGCCTATCGTCCCTGAAGATCCAGTGATCGCCAGCCAGCGGGATTGGTGAGCTAGATTTGTGGAGAGAGAGAGAGAGTGAGAGGAGGGACAGACAAAACAGTGGCAGTGGAGAAGACTCACCGTCATGCCAGAGACCGTGGCGGCCCGAGGGACCCCCGAAGAGGCATATAGGGCAGCGGAGCTGTTGGGTCTTGCGGCCGGGGAGCTTCTGGTTTTCCCCGTTGGCTTTTATTGGCGGCGGAGGAATTGCGCCTCCATAGTCGGGTTCTTCCCGTTTTCGTTGCAGAGAAGGAGAATCCCCAAGATGCCTGATCCCGATCTTCCTGGCCCCAATCTCCTCCCCTGAAATTTAAATATTCATCATCATCATCATCATCATCATCATCTCTCTCTCTCTCCCTCTCTCTCTCTCTCTCTCTCTCTGACTGATGAAGGGAAGGCAAGACTCGCAGCCACCCAAGATGGCAAGTTGCTCGCCGGCTTCGTCTCCTCTCATGTGGGTTCTTTCTCTCTAACAGCAGCATCTCTGAGTTCTGCGGATATTCGTCTGATCTGTTGTTGTCTTCGTCTGTGTTGAAGGACGGATCGCGAGTTCGTCAAGCTGCTGTGGGAGAGCGCGGGAAGACCCAGGAAAGGCGGCCCTTACTCCAGCTCTCTCCCGTTCTTCTCCGGCAAGGATCAGGGGAGAGAAGTCCCCGAGCATCCGATGGCCACCAGGGCTGCCGCTAGGCCCGCGGCGGCGGAGGACTCGCCGGCAAGCCACGCGCCACCGTTTGGGCCTCTCCAGGACGACGAACTGGTCGCCTGGCTGAGCTGCCCCATCGATGATTACTGCTCCGAGCTCCTCTCCGACATCTCCGGCGCCGACGTGGTGTCCTCCACCGAAGCAGCGGCGCCGGCCGCGGCTTCTTCCAGAGCTCCGGCGGGACCCATGGAGGCCGGCAGGATGAGCAGCCTAAAGGAGTTGCCGAAGAAGGAAGCCGCAGCCCCCAAGCCTGTCCTCAACTTCTCCATCTTCTCCAGGCCTCTAATGGAGTCTTCTTCCCTCATCAAGCCCGCCGCCGTCATGAAGGCAAACTCAGAGGTCCTTCCGGCACCGGAGACGGCCTCCGAGCCGGCCATCGTCTCCTCCTCTCTGTGCTCGCAGAACGGGGCGAGAAAGAGACGCCGGGAGGAAGACGACGAGATCGAAGACCAGACAGATGTGAGTAGGGAAGATAAGACTCATTTCCATCACCCTCCGCGGCCAACTCATGGTCTTCCAGTCTGCTGGTTCCTGGCAGGAGCACGGGGAAGATGAGTCAACGGATCGGAGGAGACCCGCCGATAAGGGGCAGGCTGTGAACAAGAAGAGAAGCCGCTCTGCAGAGATCCATAATCTGTCAGAGAGAGTGAGTCTCCGTGATCATCACACGATGAGCCTTCTATCTCGTTGATTTCATGTCCTCATTTGGGTTAAAATCCAGAGGCGAAGAGACCGGATCAACGAGAAGATGCGGGCGTTACAGGCACTCGTCCCCAGCTGCAACAAGGTATCGTATCTAAACCCAGAACCTCGCATGCACGTCGAAATTTGTTTTCGCCAGATTTAGGGAAAGAAGGCTAATTTAATCAAAGTTATAAACAGAGGGTTATTTTTTATGATTAACGGATGAAGGCCCGCTTCAATAATATTGTATTATTAAGGATAATTTCACCCTTATTAAGCAAAAAATACTTTAAATGAGCCATTCCACTTCTCTCCTCATCCATCAAATAAGTTTTTTCTCAAATTTCCATTAATCTCTTTTATTTTATTTTTACAGAAAATTCCACTAAAACATAGACTTTCTCTGATACCATTTTCTTTAAGTAAATTATCCTTGCCTCTACTATAACATAATCTTAAAAAAAAAAAGGTCCTTTCACCAAAATTCCGTTCATCTCTTGCAATTTTCTGTCAGCAAAACTCACCAAAGCTGAGACCGCTCTAATTATATTTTCTTTAATTAATCATATTCACCTCTGGTGATCAAATGACGTCTGTCCTCAAAATTGCAATCATCTCTAGCAATCTTTTTAATTTTTTTTGTCTCCCTATCTTTACTCTGAAAAATCCCTTTTTCCTAGATTTATCGAACCCATCCAACCAAAAATCACCCCCATTAAGCAACTAGTGGGGGATTATTCTTATAATATTTTGCTTAGTCAATCCCTCTTAACCAGGTGGACAGGGCCTCAATGCTTGACGAGGTCATCGAGTACCTAAAATCCCTTCAGATGCAAGTCCAGGTATGAATCGTGACTTTTCTCCCTACTTATTTATTTTCCATTTTCTGTTGTTTCTTTTCTGATTGATGATCATGATCATGGTGATGGATGATGGGTTTTTTATGGCAGGCCATGTCGATGGGCCGAGGGATGTTCGTGCGGCCGATGATGCTTCCCAATGGAATGGGCATGAACATGAACATGGGCATGATGGGCATGGGCACGGGCATGGGCATGATTGACATGCCCAGCTTCCCTATGATGTCATTCTCCCCCATGCATGGCCATCCTCATGGGCCCAGTGGGATCCAAATGATGATGCCAGGCTCCAATGGGCCCCGCATGGTCGGAATCATGCCCGGGCAAGTTGTGCCCATGTCCATGTTCCACACCCCCCATTTCATCCCCGTGAGGCCACCACCACCGCCACCGTCACCACCGCCACCGCCACCGTTGCCACCGCCAGGTAGCTCCTTGCAAGGATCGGATCTGTGCCCTCCAAATGTTGATCAGCATAGAACACCTGGTGGCCAGACCGAGTACAGATGGTCCAAAGGTGGAGTCTTGCAAGGAGATCTAGAAGATCCTTCACTTTGACTTTCGACAGATGTTCATCTGGGTGAATTGATGTCTGGTGGTGGTTGACTTCCTCCAAGGGGGCAGGGACTGAAGCCGAGCCCAATATTTTCCTCTGAACCACTTTTGTGAAATGCTGTGAATTCATGTAATTACTACGAGTGTGATCGTTGACCACAGGAATGTCAACGGGTGGTGTTAGCTTGGAGCCCCACCTAGTTCTTTCAGGGGCTAATGATAACAGGCCCATCGGGCACATCCCTTTGTCTGGGCTTTGATAGGGTCCGGCCCATCTACTGCCATGTGACCTTCTCGGCCCCACACTTCTCTCTCTCTCTCTCTCTCTCTCTCTCTCTCTCTCCAAGATAAGTCATATAGAGGGCTCAGTTGGGTTAACATAGCCTGGGTCTGGGCTTCTCTCCAAATTCGGGCTATGTATGTCCCTTGGGGAAGTTGGGCTACCCACTTGACAGAACAACCGTTGTAGAAATAATAGAAATCAGATCATAAATCCAGGAAGGCACAAGAATTGAGTGAGGAAAGGGATAGAAATCAGGATCGAAGGAATGAATCCACAAGTCATGAATTTTTCCAGTGAATACCTAAAACATTTATTTTGATGACCCACCCCTTGAATCAACGAGGATCACAAACGTTCTTATATCCACAAGTCATGAATTTTTCAATAATCATTGAATCCCCAAGGATCAAAATAATGTCATTTGAATCCACAGCCACTTGAAAATCTTTCAAAGTGAAAAAAAAATAATCTTAATGTATCATCTCATATGGAGTTCCAGCATGCTACTCTTTAAATAAGCCTAGATTCTATCTGTAACTCTCCTAGAAATGAGATCAGTATTAAAGATAAAATAATAATTCAAGCTGAAGTGTTATTCAACCATGCAATTTACTTAGGGTTAATCTTATTTTGGGCTTTTTAACATTTTTTTAGTCCATGTTTTAAACGTTTTTAGACCACTTGGGTAAAAAAATAAATCACCTTTCTCCGGTTCTATTAGTCCATGTGCTGCTCCATTGAGCTGTTATTTTAGGCCTGCTGGAGACCGGGTTATCCCACGGGCTTTGCACTTACTAAGCCCATTGACATCACTGTCATTTTCCACATTTCCCGGAGATTAAGCAATCTAGTCTTTTAATCCATGATTAGGGGGTCGACGGGTCAAATTAAGCCCTTTAAGCGGCCAGTTTCATGGTTATACAAACCGGGCCTGGCCAAAGAGAAGCCCGGGCTTACTCGGTTGAGTTCGCTGCTCTTTTCCACATTTTCGGAGATCAAGCAATCTAGTCTTTTAATCCATGATTTTGGGTGTCAACAGGTCAAATTAAACCCTTTAAGCGGCCAGATTTTATGGTTAGACAGACCGGGCCTGACCAGAGAGAAGCCGGAAGTATGCTCCGGGCCGAGCTAATTCCCGACTCGGATGGGAGAGAGATCCGGCGGGCGGGGTGGCCACTGCCACACATGGAGGGGTGACGGACGGAGCCATTGGGTTCGATGAATGGGTATCAGGTCTTTAAGTCCAGTTCGGAACCCGGAAGTCCGAAATTTACGTGGGCTCTAATGGGCCCGTAGGATTAGGGTTTTGAAGGCCCAACAAATGAGGGGACCTGTTGCCGTGATACGGAAAGGAACCAACTTACAGGGCACACGTGCGGAGAACACGAGCCCCTATTTAGGGCTCCGCTTCGACGTTTTTCAGGGAAAGCTTCAAGCTTCAAAATTCACACGCGTGAGACCTACGATCACGAGGGAGGGAGGGAGGGAGAGAGAGAGAGAGAGAGAGAGAGGGCCATGCGGTACCTCCAGTCAAACGCCTCCAGAGCTCCCATCAAGTTCAGAATGTAAACCTCCCCTCCGCTTCCTTCCGCCCTTCTTCCCTCCGATTGTCTATGCTACGTATCTCGCTCAGTGTGTTATTGAATTGTCTGGGGTGGGGTCGTCCAGTTCTTCGTCTGAAAGTATCCGATCCCCCCCCCCAATGGAATTCTTCCATAATATAAATTTGAAGGCGTGAACTAGCTGTGCTGCTTCTTTGTTCCGTCTTGAATCATCATGTCCTGCTGCTATCGACATGCAGGAGACTAGTCACGGTGCTTTCCCCCGCGTTTTTGGGTTCTTTGTATTTATTTATTTTTCCCTCTTTTTCTGTTTGATTTTTGTGGATACCTCCCCGTTGTACTTTTATCTGGGTACATTAGTCTCACAATGTGGCCACTTTGCTTTCTCCCTTGTCAACGTGGTCTGCCGGAAAATTTAGCTGAAGTTAATTAGGTAACTCTGCGATGGCTGGATTTTTTCAAGGTCTTTGCTCTATCTTTATGAATTCAAAATTTTCTGACTAACTAAGCACGCATAATTGGGGTCATACTTTCCTGAATGAGAAACGATGAGGAAGAACCAGCCCCTCTTTTTTGTTGAAGTCCTTAGCAGGTCCCTTTTTCTCTATTATCGATTAAATTTTTATTCCATTTGCAGAATGACGGTATACAATGTCTGTCTGATTCCAATTTCAGGCCAACGTCAGAGAACCTGGTTCCAATCCGTCTGGATATTGAAGTTGATGGCCAGCGTTTCAAAGACGCCTTCACTTGGAATCCCAGTGGTATTCTCTTCTGGCTAGCAGGCTTGACTTATCTGTTCTTCTGATTGTTCTAACTGTTGATGTTGAATCGTCGATTTGATGTCCAAATAAACTCATATCAAAATCTTCTAATCGAATATCCTTGCCATCTCATGTCACTTGCGAAACCCATTACTTTAGATCTATATTATTATGATATTATTCTTGAAAATATGTAGAACAAGAAGAGACTATAAATGGTTCACTGGGAAAGCATCTGTGAACCTGCCTTGGTCGTTGTTGGTGTTGCCAACGGTGAAGTCTTTCTTCTAAGTATGCTGAAGTTTGTGGAATATGAGAGGGACCTTAGTACACCATGCTGACTTGTCGGTGTATGACTGTACTGTATGCTGTGTTGAAGGATGCCCGCAGACTGAGATGATTTTTATTTTTTATATGAGTGGAAACTTGTACTTTACTTTATATTGTTCTGTTTTATTTTTTCAATGTGGTCTTGTGTATTAATCTATCTATAGTTTTTCTTGTATTTGACGTCCATTTATCAACTTGGAAGCTTTTTTCTGATGCCTTACGTGCTGGCTTACAGATCCGGACTCCGAGGTCATCAGCTTTGCGAAAAGGACGATAAAAGATCTTAAGTTGCCCCCAACGTTCATAACACATGTTGCTCAGTCCATTCAGGTGAGTCTTTCTGCAGTTCCCGCATGTATTATTAAAACTGGATCTGAATTTACTTTGATTTATAGATTTTCTCTGTGTGATCAAACTATACTGCTGCATTTATCTGAAGTTTTTCTTAATTGAGGTTAGCAATGCTTAGTTTTTATGATTGGCTTGTTGTTGTACTTTTCGTTTCTTGTGTTTTAAAGTATTTTTAGCCCTTCGAAAAGTTTGATATTTTCCATTGAATGTGATATTTTCTTGCCAGAGGATTTATATCCTTTTTATTTTTCCCTACAGACCCAGCTTGCTGAATTTCGGTCATTGGAAGGCCAAGTTATGTACTGTACAGAGAAGATTGTCGTTCTTAAGGTTCAATAATTCGTCGAGCCATTCTCATCTCTACTTCATTCCAGTTTTGTCATTCTGGTTCACACTTTGTCTTTCTCATCTTCTCTCGAACTAAGTCACCTTTTCTCCTCACGCAGATTGACCTGAGGGTAAATAACACAGTCATAAGGGACCAGTTTCAGTGGGTGAGCTTGCCTTTGTAGTCTCCGTTAAAAAAATATATGGCATCTTTATTAATCTCGTGTGAAGGAGCCTAGACACGTTGTCTTCACTTTTTGTTTAAAGTGAATTTTCTTTTTCAGGATTTGAGCAATTTGGACAGTGACCCAGAAGAATTCGCAAGAACGTTTTGCAGGGATTTAAATATTAGTGACCCTGAAGTTGGAGTAAGCAGTTTAATCCGATTCTTGCGTCTGTAAACGCTAAATATTTCTTCAAAACCCTTATTTTTCGGTTTCCCTCGCGTGTCAAACTTTGCGAACTGTCCTGGCTGATATGTTGTCGTGGATGACAAATTATTTTTAGGGGTAACTTGGGTTACTCCGCTGGCAGTTCAACTTAGTCTGGCCTTGTTTCTGCAAATCAAAGTTGTTGCGGGTTCAATTGAGTTGGAAAAAGCTTCAATAGACAACACTAGTTCAAATTTTCTGTTGAAAAAAAAGAAACTGCTCATCTGAAAGCTTGTGCTCACTCTGCTTGCCCTAGTTTTCTCTCCATCATATTTGTATGCTGCTCGATGTTGCCTCTATGGTTTACGAAGCTGCCTAAATATTTGAACTGGGAAAATGATCGCAGACCTTAAATCCTGCTTCAGTGTTAAGCTTAGAAGAAAAGCTGAAGACAATGTCCCATGATACATTCTTCTTGAATATCTGCTTAAACCCACCACTGCAAAAGGAGAAAGAGGACACCTTGGGGACCTTTGACTAGTAAGAAAGAGGAGTTCCCTACGTTAGTTTTGTATGCTACCTCAAAATTAGAACTGATTCACTCCATTGATCAAATTCACTTGTGAGGGATTCACCTTGATCAAACTGAATGCGGCAGGTAATGACTCAGCAGGAGATCCAATTGCAAATTTTGTCTATTCATTGAAAGATTGAAGGGGAAATCAGCTTTTACTGATTTTTAGAGTAGCTGGGTTTCTACTGTTTCGTGGCTGCGGGATTCTGAGATGTCTGGTGCATCTTATTAACTTACAAAAGGCCAACAGGGATGAGGGTTGGGACTCCATTTCAGTCCACTGATCCTGTTTAGACTTTCTCATGTCGCCCACAGGTGATGTTTCCCTATCAAGTCTACAGCCTCGATTCTTTACTCTTTGTGTTCAAAGTATGAAGTTCCTTGGTACTTGGTTCATATCACAAGAAGTTCGATTGGTTCAAAATCGCCTTTAAAGGAGAATCATTATCGATCATTATCATAGTTAGTTCTAATCTTCACTTATACCCAGGGGATGGCTCGGTGTGAAATATAGGTTTATGTTAGTTTAAACTTTAGTTGATCGTTCATGAAATGACTAGAGAAAGACGAAGCATGTGCTACATTGTAGATTGTATGATTTTTTTTCTTTTGTGTGTGTGTGTGTGTGTGTTTCTTCATTTCAGTCATTGGGTATGCTATTTAATCCTTCTTCGGTACGTTATCAACAGTTGAATATATCATTTTTTCGATCTATTGCTTGCAGCCTGCGATTGCTGTTGCTATCAGGGAACAACTTTATGAGGTAACTTTCTCCCTCTCTAGTCGCAGTTAGTACGACTGTAGTATGTAATGTTATTAATATTTTTCGCTTGCATCATCACATAGCAAGCAGTTGTGTTTTGACTCGTTGAATGCGGCCTAGGACTTAATGTTCATGGTTGGAGTTTGTTCGAGCATTCAATGAAATTACCTGCCATTCTCTTCTACCTTTCAGGATTTTGGCTGAAAGCAATCATTTTTTTTTCTTGCACGATGATTAATGCATGAGATAATAAAATACGAAATAATTGACTGCAAGATGCCGGGGTGGCCTTGTGAATGTCTGATGCGCCATAGAACTTATGCTCTTGAGGAGCTTTTACTTATTTAGAAATTTCCAGTTGGAAGCATGCGGCAAAGAGGAAAAATATCTATTCTCTGACAGAACATTTTAACTCGTCGCTACTGTCTCTTTGGAAAGCTTATGAGGGTTAAGATGATCTGTTCTCGTGATTATTTAACGGTGGTAATTAGCCAGCAATGCATTTGCTTCCCTATCAAGATTCTCGTCTGCAGATGGCAGCCCAAAATGTCACATCAGCGCGGGAAATCAGAGTGGCCAAGAAGGGTAGAAGAGTAGACCAGATATCTAACAGGTACATTGACTTGCTCGCGTTTCTATCTTCATGATTTCATAAATGGCCACCGTATGGCATGAGAAGCTGGGTCAACGATAAGATTCTCTCTCGCTTCCTTGCATGGTGGGTTTTGGCGGTTTGCTAAAGAAATGAATTCATATTTTCTCAGTAAAGGAGCTGGCAATGGGCTGGACTTGTCCAAGTCATTCGGCAGCAAAGCAAGCGTCATTCGGTGAGGGCAGATCATGCGATAATTTTTCGTGCAAAATTGTCCACATCTTTTTCTTCATCCCTTCCTGTTTTTATTTATTTAAAATTGCTCTTAAAATGTCACATCAATGTCAATCTCCCATGGAATGGGAATTCCCATCCCAGCTGGTTCGGGCATTCATTCCATATTCAGTTCATGCATTACCCTTCTGCTTCTATGAACAGAAGCGATCAGTGATTATAATCTCTCCCCACACAATCTATCCAAGAGAAAATTCCAGATTTTGATATATGCATGAGGAATAATATGAAGCCTTTTCCGGTAAATCTCTTGAGTTCTACGAGGTTCTGGAGATGAATGCTGTGCCTGTGCCGTTCTTCTGTATGAATCAGGAAGAGGAAGGACTGGCACCTGTACGGGCCGATGGTTGACTCTCTGACGAACGAGGAAGTCGGGAATATCGAAGCAAAGGAAGATCGGAGGTCTCAGTGAGAAAATTCCAGCTTTTTTTCCTTCTTATTTCCTCTTGATTAAAATAAATATTCCGCTTTTTTATCTTAACGCCAGAAAAAAACATTTAATCAAACCGGAGCCAATGGATTTTTCATGGCCGTTAATAACCATGTGCAGCCTGAAGAAGAGGGCAGAGTGATGGCGGCGCCCGCTCCAACCTGGTTTTGGTCAACTCAGCCGATGTCTCATCGGAGGTCAGCGCCGTATTATGGCTGACTAAATAATTATCACTGGGTCTATGGCTCTGCTGCGGGCTAATTACTAATCACTGACTCCAGAGGTTTTCCTCTGTAATCACCGGATGGGGGTCCTGTCCCTAGCTCAAGGAATTTATCATCCTTTGATATCTTAGGCAAAGTCAACTCCCCCGCAAAGAAATGAGCACATTTTATAAACTTTCTGAGGCTGCCCTTGAATGGGATTTATGTACGCCACCTGAATTCATCAGTCTTTCACGTCTTCAAGAAAATTCGGTGGAGCCAACAAATACTAACAGATTTTCCACCTTGCGTCTCGGGGGAAGAATATATACATTAATATATATGTATACTCTCTCTCTCTCTCTCTCTCTCTCTCTCTATCTCTCTCTCTCTCTCTATCTCTCTCTATCTGTCTCTAGGCATTCCCTTCCTTTCGTACGCAGAGCCCCCCAGCTGTCTGTCGTCGGAAAGTGGCCCAAGACGAAAGTTTGCAGATATGTATGTATATATATATATATATATATATCTATATATGCATATCAGTGCCTATAGTTTTGAAAAAATATTATCATTTGGTTCTTCAGTGAAGGAGCGAGCAAGAAGACCGAATTCCCTACGATGGGGCGACTGCTCTACGTTAGCTGCACACGACCGATTACATTCACATAGATACAACATTTCACAGACAGAAGGGAGAAGAGAACGAGAGAGAGAGAGAGAGATGGAGAGAAAGCGAGAGCTGAAGAGACCGAGAGCAAGAGATAACCAGATAACCAGAGCAGAAGAAGACCGAGAGCAAGAGAGAGCGAAAAGAGCGATAGTGAGAGATAACCAGAGCAAGAGAGAGAGATGGAGAGAAAGCGAGAAGAAAAGAGAGAGAGTGAGCAAGAGTTAGAGAGAGCGAGAGCGAGAGAGAGAGAGAGAGAGAGAGAGCAAAAGAGACCGAGAGTGAGAGAAAGCGAGAGCAAGAGAGAGAGAGTGAGCGAGAGAAGGAGAGCAAAAGAGACCGAGAGTGATAGAAAGCGAGAGCGAGAGAGAGAGATGAAGGACTGCTCAAGAGAGCTGAGCCTTCATCCGGGCGATGTAGGCGGCGGCCTTAATGTCGATGTCGGGCTCCCCGACCCACCACCCGCAGTCCTCGTCGCTTGCCCACACCCTCGCTTTCCGCCTGGGCTCGTCTTCATCCTTCTCCTCCATCCCACGGGAGCACCCGATGAAGCTCAAAATAGCAGACAGTATGCCCTCCGTAGAACCCCTCTTCCCCATTTCCTTCCTCTCTCTCTCTCTCTCTCTCTCTCTCTAGGAGAGGCGGGCTCTGAGGGTCAGTGCACTGAGGAGCTGCGAGTTCGGGAGCTGAATTTATTGTGGGGATCTCTGCATGATCACGACCAGATGGGCGGTCCAGCTCTGCCCAGCCGACCTTCCTCTGGTTATTAAACTCCACCTGCAGGAGCCTTCTTTTCTTGGTCTCCCTCCTCCGCCTGCCAAACATCACCAGCACCTCCCCTTTTCCTCGAAAGGCTACCTCTCTCTCTCTCTCTCTAGCATCGCTTTAGAAATGCAGTAATCATAGCGAAGCTCGTGTTTTGATATATGTGGGTCGTGCTGCTTAAGCCTGATTATTCCAGTTTGGTAAGATGATTTCCAAAGTATAGTGACCAATCTCAGTCATAAAAAAGTCGACTTTCTGAAGGCTCCCACATCGTAAGAAGCCAAGATCGACCCAGAAACTCCAAACAAAACTGGGGCTCCAGTTTCTCCGACGAATAATAGACGAGAGCGAGCGAGCTAGCGAGCGAGAGAGAGAGAGAGAGAAACCTCCAGTCGGAATCCCGGCTCTATATGGATGGACATGGTCTCCACGTGGTGAACGTGAGGTCTTTCTTCCCGGTTTCTCACTCTAGTGGATTGGTCAAAGGCGAAAGAGAGAGAGACCTTGGAGCACTCAGATTCCCTGAGCCAAACGCGTCGAAGCCTAGTTCGGCGAGCTCTCCCATCCTGCTCGCTCTTCTCTGGTCTTTCCTCTCTCTCTCTCTCTCCTCCTTCCGAGAAGCGGCCTGCGTGTGGGTGGGTTGGTGGAGTGGGGGGGGTCCCCGGAGATGGCTCCGACAGCTGGTATTTGACGGCGTTCATGGAGGAGCCGCCGCGGGGAAACCACCGGTCGGAATCCCAACTGCCGGCGGGGCCTGGGAGTCCCCCCTCGGGGTTCTATTCTTCCAGATTATCCCCCTGAACCTTCCTTAGCCGCGAAGAAAGTGACAGCGTGCTAGAGAGAGAGAGCACCTAAATTCCGTCGACGTGAAGCAGCCAGAGATCTGGTCAAAGGTGTCTCTCTTCATCATTTCTTTTTGAAGCCCCCCCATATCATCATCTCTACCCAATCTGATGTAGAGAGAGAAGGGGACAAACAGACAGCTCGGTGTAATGCAGCTCATCTGGGCCATCGACATGCATGCAGATAATCTGAAGCTAGGAAAGCGTTGGACCACTCGGGCATGCAAGAGTAGAGAGAGAGAGAGAGAGAGAGATCACCTAAATCCCATCGACGTGAATCCGCATAGATCTCGTCAAAGGTGTCTCTCTTCTCCCTCCCCTATCATTATCTCCACCCTCTCCTTCTCTCTCTCTCTCTCTCTCTCTCTCTCTCTCTCTCTCTCTCTCTCACGTCCAGACCCAAGTACCGATCTGAGGTAAAGAGACATCTCGGCGCGTGGTCGACCCAGTGGCGGTGTAGATGGGGCTCCTCTGGCCCTAGGTTTGACCGCTCACAATCTAACTGGACGTGATCGATCCGGTGCATGTAAATAATCTCAGCCTGGGCAAAGATTGCACCACTCCGAAACAGAGGGTAGAGATAGATAGACAGATAGAACGATAGAGAGAGAGAGAAAGAGAGAGAAGCGGGAGCAACAAAGTCAAAAGTTCATAAGGATGGATGGAGAGAGAGAGAGAGAGAGAGAGGGAGAGCGAGAGAGAGAGAGAGAGAGAGAGAGAGAGAGTCAAGGCCATGGGAGATCCCTTCCACCTTATTCACCGCCGCTCAAAAGCCGGCAAACCTCAAAAGCCGCCGGCCATCAATCAACAGAGGCTCCGACGAAAGACGACGGCGAAAAAAAGAAAAAGGAAACAGAAGGGCGAAAACATTCATATTATTCCAACCTCCGCCAGTCCCTGCCGTCAGGCGGCGGAGAAGCCACCTTCTCGGCGGCGGCGGCGGCGGCGGCGGCTAGGCGGCGGCGGCGACGGGGACGGATCGGAAGCACGCCCTCTTCACGGCGTTGACGATGTTATCAACCTGAAAGATGACGGAGAGAAGATGAAGATGAGAGAGAAACCCGGAAAATGGAGAGAGCTCGGTGAGAATCAGGGCTCCGGTTGGCACCTGCGGAACCGCCAGTCTCTCCAAGTTCGCCGCGTACGGCATCGGCACGTCGGCCCCGGCGATCCTCTCCACCGGCGCGTCCAGGTACTCGAAGCTCTCCTCCACCACCGACGCGCTGGAACCAGAACTTGACCTCTTGAATCTCGAAGAAGAAGAAGAAGAAAGGAGAAGAAATCCCAGAAGAAGAAGGAGAAGAAACCCCAGCAGGAGGAGAAGGGGATGAGCGGACCATATCTCTGCACCGATGCCGTGCTGGGGGAAGCCCTCCTCGACGGTGACCAGCCGGGTGGTCTTCCTGACGGAGGCGTTGATGGCGGCCCTGTCCAGCGGCCTGAGCGAGCGGAGATTTATGACCTAATCGGAAGAGAGGAAAGCTGATGAGGGAAGGAAAAAGGGTGGCGAATCCGCAGGTAGAAGCCAGCACAAGGTTTTACAGTCGAGACAGTCAGTAGCTCACCTCCGCGCTGATCCCTTCCTTGGAGAGCACCTCGGCGGCCTGGGCAGGGATCAGAGAAACAGTGAGCACCCACAAGTCAGAAACGACGCGGCCGAAGAGGGGAAATGCAGGAGGAAGATGATGCTCGTTCTAACAGTCTCAGTCATCGCTAGTAAAAATCTGGCTGACCCAGGAGCAGGAATGAGAAGCAACCAAGAGACTAGCTTTGCATTTCCTAAGAAAAGGGGAAAGGAAAGATGCTCGGCCGAGTCCAGAAGCCTGGACAGAGTTTATGATTTCTCCAAGATCGGAGGAGTCACAGATCCACATTTAACATTTTTTTTAGAAAAAATAAGTAATTCCCTCACGAAAGAATTTCTGCACACCTGGAGAGCGTAGCCGACCATCTTGGAGAAAGCAGTGATCGTGACGTCCTTCCCTTCTCGCTCAATCTACAATGGGAGGGCTAGGAGTGAGCCATCTGAAGGAGAGCGCCATTGATAGCACCTCACGCCTATTCTTATGGAATGGAGCACATACCTTTGCCTTGCCGATGGGCAGGCAGAAGCTCGAGTCCAGAACTTCGTCTGAAATGGGAAAAGACTGCCCGTATCTGAAAAGGCGATAGCAGAGTAGAGCTAGATCAGTTCTGAAATCATGAAACCTTCATGGGTGGGTGGGTCGACAGCAAGTATCTCATGGCCTGAGATTCTGGAGAGACTTACAGGATCTCGTTTTCGAGGAAGACGACAGGATCAGGATCCCTGATGGCGGCTTTCAGAAGGCCTCGGGCATCTTCTGATGAATATGGGCTCAGAACCTTTAATCCAGGAACGTGCGCATACCAAGCCCCATAACACTGCAGATCGCAGAGTGAAATAATGCTGGCCTCAGACATCACTTGTTTAGCAAAAGAAATAGAGGGCATATCTCTCGGGTAATTAATTGTGCTTGACAGGAAGATGCTGCACATTCATGATAAGGATCATACTGTGCGGAGAGGTTAATAACCCCATTTTCATGAGGTTTATTTACACTCTGCATGTATTAGATCAGTTAATCCAAGGACAGGAACTAGTAAGAGAACCGACAGTGGTAGGCCCTATATGTAAAGTTTGAACCGTACATCGACTGCATCAGTAGATTGCAGCTCTGGAAAAGTTGTAAATACAGAATTTAAAAAATGTAAAAAAAGAATAAAAATGCAGCCAATAGGAGCCCACCGGCGCATCAGACGAAGTTTCAGAGGATATGATTAATTCCGAAACAAGAACACGACGGTTTTATATGCAGTTAAAGAAGCTTCACTACACGACGAGAATTTCAGCTCCTTTCCTACTGGAGTAAACGCGCAAGTTCAAAATGCAAGGAAAATTTCACCACACCTGAGAATGCTGAGAGCTGACTCCTGCGGCGGCACCATTTGGTCCCCTGAAAACTATGGGAACAGAGATGTTACCGGCTGACATGTAATTCATCTTCGCAGCAGAGTTAATGATATGATCGATTGCCTGCAAAGCAGTGACAAGTCAGGTACGTTATTCACATCGATAAAATTTGACAAGTGAAAGCTACACGAACACTCAAAATGAATGAGGTTTTGGTGCCACAAAAGTACAAACCAAACACAAAACAGTCCCGAGCCTCAACATATGACAAGACAGTATCTTTGAAACAGGAGATTGACGATGGGACACAGTGCTATGGAAGCATCAAAATTATCAGTCAAGTTCTTCAGATTTAGTTGTGCTAGAATTCATGCCGTATAATGGATTTTAAACTGACAAAAGGTAACAAACTGGGGAGTGAGCATGCAGGCTGATTTTCCTGGCCCTTTACCCGTTTTAACATGAGAGGAGGAACGCCTACGTCTGATAAACTTTGGAGAATCAAGAGAGCCTTCAGGACGAAGGAACTGATCAACAATAGTGACAATAGTTAAATCGACTTTGACCTTGGAAGAAAACCCAGGATGGTCGGGAAAGACAAAAGAGTGGCGTGGAAGAAATTTGGACCTGAAAGAAAAGCTCAAGCTATGTTCCAAAGAATCTTTGGCACGAGAAGGAGGCACACGATGTTGGCATCAAAGACAACGCGGTTGGGGATCTAGAGTGGGGTGCATAATGCAAAATGGCATGGGAGACCTAATGAGAATGCTTGGAACTCATTGGGGGTAGGAAACCAAATGCCAAAAAATAAATCCTGCAGCATTTGGGATAGGTGTGGAAGGCAACTCAATGAGAGAGAGAGAGAGAGAGAGAGAGAGAGAGAGAGAGAGAGAGAGGGGGAGGAGTTTGGGGATAGGGGGTGGGGGGCGAATAACCAGCACATAAAGGCCTGCTGGGAGATTCTCATCACGAGCTGCAAGATACTATGAACGGCATTTCACCTTATTAGCTTTCATTAAAAGGTCTAAAAACAATTCTCTTCTTTGGAGTTTAGTTTCCTACATTTGAGGAAGGAATGGAGCAGATTATAGAAGCAGTTGGCTTCTATCAACGGTCCCAAAGCTCGCAGTGGATTGGATCATATTGTAGCATCATTTAACAGCATGATCAGTCCAAGAAAGGTATATGTCATTTGGCAGCTCATTTGGATCGAGGCAACTGTAAGATGTTCACACTCGAGATACAAGTTATGTGACGCAAAATTTCACAAAGCCACACGTTTCTAATTTCAGCAAGTGGAAGAGGCACTTCTAATGGGAGGAAGCTAATTCCTCAAGAGAGAATGGCCTCTGACAGTAGGCCAGGCATATTACAAACGTGAAAGGGAAATGAGGAAAACCCACCCAACTATGATTTTCATGTATTTCAATCGGGCTTATAAGAAGGAAGCATTGATCTTCTGAATGTCATTCGGGTGATGTTCATTTGCAAGGGATAAGCATCACTTTTTATCCCTTAACAAAGAATATTCGCACACAGACATCGATAAACTAGAGCATCAAGGTGCTTGGACCACGAATCGAAGTGAGAGTGAACAAGCAAGTTGAATGGGATCAAAGTATCCTCATTTGGGAGACCCCAAATCAGGATAATTTATTCATTGCAAACGACTATCACCCAGAGAAAATAAAGGAGAGTGCCTCCTATTCCAAGGCATTATTTAATTAAATACTGGTGCATTGGATTGAGAAGTTGAGTGCCAAAAACCTGACAGAAACTAAACCAGAAGGGGGGCGCCTACGGGATAATCATACAGATGTCGCATGTCCAGACAAGAGAGCAGAATCTTTTTGCCGATATTGAGCCATACCCATGACACAGCGAGCTAGAAAAGAAGCGGGCCCCTTATAAATCCTATCCTGGGTTAGATTTTTTCTTCTCTAAAAATATGAGAGTAAATGGTCTTGCTTGGTCTACTGTCCCTGGATTCTGCCTAATTGGATCATCTCCAACTAAAATCTCCCCAATATCACTTTATTCCTAGTGACTTCTACTCTGGCTTGAGAAAACCTATGCAAACCATCCATCATTCTCAGAATCCAAAAGCATATGCTATGCTTTGGATACCATCCAGCACCGGACTTGATACACAGTTGCATAGAAACTGTAGCTACCACTGGTTTCTGCAAAGTTATAAAACATACCCACAAGAAGAAAGCAATATCTAATCTCCATTGAGGTTTATCATTCCACAGGATAAGACCCACTCTCACAGTTTTTTGACTCTCCATGGGTATTCTTTCCTCCACTCCTCCCTCAGCAATCTTTACAATAAATTATTTTTCTCCTTATAGTTGGGCCGTGAAAGTGAATGCCACTCTGATAAAAATAGCCTTTCTTTTCACCAGGAAAATAATCCCAAGGGATCTCTACTGTCAGCTGCAGAAGCTTGCACCTCGACTTACATCTTATCCCCTCGTTTTCCTTTATACTCTGATTATTTTCCCCTCTGTTCAGCACTATAATATTTGTTATACTTCACTTTCCCATCAGTTGGGGTTGAAATTGCGTTCTCAACCCCCTTGGCACTGTTTTCACAACACCATTTTGTTTCCACGCCAAATTCCACCAAAAGAAATTCTTTCAACAGAATCCCTGCATAATTTTGCCTGATAACCATGACCCAAGCATCTAGTACATAAACCTATGCAGCAAGCCATCAGGCCATACTTCGCTCATGTCCATGCCAAGACACAATCTTCTTCTTCACACTCTCCAACAGTTCACCAAGACATATTCTAAGCCTAGGATAGGAATGGGAGTCGGGAAATAGGTGGAAGACAAGAAACTGGGTTTAAGGTTGGAGATAGTAGGTTGAGAACAGAAGATTATGGAGTGTTGGGGAATCACAGGTTGGAAGTCAGGCACTGATGTTCCGAAGACAGAATTTTGAAACCGGCAGCTGCAGCCAGGCCCAGGGCAAAGAAGAAAGAAGGAGATGCAGTAAATCTCTGTAATATTCCATTCTCTCTCATATTCTTCAGTTCACTGACCCCCCACCAGCCACAAGACTTCCTCATTCAGAATGATCTGCCATCCTTTGGACTCTTCAAACATTGCACGCTCATTTTGTCTCGCACAGAACCTTCCCCATTGGCTAGCCAATTGATAAAATCTCAAATCATACAAGTTCTCTACAAGAATTCTTGAACGTTTACTCATTGCCTGCAAAAGACCAGGGGATATCCAATAAACTGATATGGAAACAGGTCAAAAGAACCATCCTAAAAAAAATTACCATGAGTACCAGGAAGAGAGAGAGACCTGAACAAAAGCAGATCAGGACCTCACGAAAGAAGCCAAGAGACTCGACTAGTTCATTTATCCCATTGTTCCTCCCAGTACTAATGTCGATTAGACAGGAAACAACTAAAGAAATAATAACAAGCTACACAATACTTTCTTCACTCTAAAGTCAACTCCTGTGAGTATTCTCATATCTTCCAAGTAACAGAGGTGAGAAACATTTTTAGAATTTCTAATTCCATTCTCCACAAAGTCACCTTCCAGAGAATGTCACAGAAGAAAAAAAAAATCAGTCAGTCATTTCTCACTTTTAAGTCTAGAAAGGGTTACAAAATTGAAGCTAATGAAGTCTAGAAGATGGGTTTTCTAACCTTAAATGCATCATTGGCCAACTAATTATGGGAGACATTTGGCACTTTACATATGAACTTATTCATCCTAAACCGACAAAAGAATCTTGAGCCAAGAATCAGAATGAAAATTTCAGATCTGCCCAACAAGTGGTCCCTCAGTTTTTTCTTCTAAACTCAGTGGGATCAATGAAAATAGGAGATTAACACAATATCAGACCAAAAAAAACATCAATTGTCAAAACTCATGTATGGAGGAAAATTCATAAAAAAGAAGGCGGGCGCAGTACAAACCTGCATGGAGAAATTGAAAGTCATGAATTCAACTACAGGTCGAAGACCATAATAAGCAGCTCCAACACCAATTCCAGTAAATCCAGCCTGTGGAAACAAGAGGAAACAGAAAATTCAGATTGTAGTTTTTAACATCAGAAGAGAACTAAAGGTGGTCGAATGCAATGTGATGTGTGATATAGAGCAAGCTTTATGCTTTCAATTACAGGGCAGCTAGATTGAAAGAAGGATCTACAGATACCAGATTGTACTGAAAGGAAAATCATAGCATGGAAAATTCAAAATAATATTTTTGACTTAAAAAGCAAGATCTGTCATAACCTCTGTGATGGGAGTATCAAGAACCCTTTCAGGACCATACTTTTCCAGAAGACCCTTGGTTATCTACATAAATTGGAGGTAGAGAAAATTATCAAATGAGAATATAAAAAGAGTGGCAAAGATAAAGAAAGTATCAATGACAAGAAAGTCAATAATGCCAATATGATAGTGATGATCAAACCTTATAAGCACCCTGGTACTCTCCAACCTGTTACATGGACAGCATGAATTAGATAATTCTTAGTAAAAGAAAACTACCCAGGAAATTTATTGTATGGAAGGCTACCTCTTCGCCCATCAGGAAGACCTTTGGATCAGCAGACATCTCCTCATCCAATGCAGAGTTCAATGCTTCTCGAACCGTCATCTGTAAGAGAGAACAGTTACTCATAACCGAGTGCAAAATAGTATTATAAATGAACCCAAAAAAAATGCATTGAATATGCCGTTTCACAATAACAACTCAGAAATAATATGCTGAGAAGAAATCATAATAACATTAACCTCCAACCAATGAAATACGAAGATTCATTTGCAAAAGAATAATGATTCGGAAACAGTATGTACGGCGTCAAGAAACACCCGTCTCAATGCAACCTAGCATACACATGACACAGCTGTTTAACAACTTCGGAAGGGACACTACTGATGGATGTACACAGGTTCTGTGTCTACAAAAGTTGAAGAAGCCTCGAACACAATGCAGAGCAATAGGTTACAAAGTATTAAAAGTTTCCAGCTACAGAAATTTAAGGTATAGAGTAGAAAAAAGAAAATCAAGTAAACTCACTTCCTTCCCAAGTGTTGAATAACCTCTCTCCAGGATTGCGAGCCCTGGCAGAATTCTCTGCAACGATTGCTGCAACATCTGGTAGCAACAGAAGAAATCAGTTCAGAAAAGTAATATCATGCAGATGAATAAACAATAAAAAGATCGCCGAGGACATGTCCCTTACAGAGGTAGGAATGCTCCCAGATATGGACACCCGCCTCATGAGTCCCAACATTTTTGCCCCCTGGATCACAGCAAAATCTTAAAGAGTGAGCGGAACTTCTCGACCATCAGCACCCATCCAACGAGAAAATCATTAGTTCACATTTTAATCCCGTTTTCTCCGATATGTACAATCGTAACATCTAATCGCAGTTGAATAAAAGCACGAGAAAAATAATCCCATTCCTCGTTCTTTTCGAATCAATAACCAAAAAAGTTGAAAAATAAAATCAGGTCGATGTTGCCCGAATCCAATGTCTCATCGCGGAATACTTGAAACGTTACATACACATTTTGGCCCTACGATTCCCCAATAACTTCGACAGGAGCTTCGAATCCTACTCCGGTCAAACACAACCCTCCATTCGATTTCCAGAATAACAAAACCCGCGATTAAAAGACGGAAACATACGAGGGTAAAGAAAAAACAATGTGGAGAAAAGCTACAGAGAAGGAGAGAGAGATATATAGAGAAGAAGGGGGATACAACACGAATTACCTTCGTTTCGCCGGAGAGCAGGGGCCACTCGGCTGCAGACGAATAAGATCAATGCTCTCCCCCTCCTCCCTACCCGCCGGGACTGGATTGGAACTAAAATCGCCGGGGAGAAGGGAATCGGCGGTGCCGCCGGGCGCTTCCGATCGGATTTGCCGCAGATTGGAACAAGGGCGAGCCCTTAATCGTCCTCAGAGATGATTAGCTGAGGGTTGACCCGCACCTTCCCTGCCTCCCTCACACCACGCCGCCTCTCCACGATGGTTAGGTGTCAACCCACCTCTCCATCGAGTATAATATTCTTTATTTTAAATAAAATATCTTCTCCGTGGGGCCGACACACCCCTCAACCGGCCTCCATTCGGCCCATTTGTAAAATCGGAGCCCATTTGGCCCTCATATTGGGTCAGGGTCAGACTTTCTGAGGCCCGGCCCGTTGGTGCTAGTAACGGAGAAGAATTAAATAAATTATTTTATAAAACCACGGCGCTTCCAATTGGATACCGCACGGAATCGGATGGCCTTCGATCCGACAGACTCGGCCCGATTTTTTCTCGGCTGAGCACACTCCGGGGCCCGCTTTAAAAATGGGCTAAATGGACCATGATAGGCCAAATGGGTCGCCCCTCTGAGAGATGCCCGAATGTCTTCTCAGTCGGGCCCACATCCCTCAACCGTGCATCCCATTTGGCCCACCTATCGGGCCGGTTCGGGCTTTCGGAGACCCGGCCGGTTGAGGCTCACAATAGAGAAGGATTAAATAAATTATTGTTTTAAAAAATACGTCGCTTCTAATCGGACGGCGCACGGAATTGGACGGCCTTTCATCCGACGGATCCCAGATGGATACCGATAAACCCAAAACTGGTAACCGTTAAGGTCTATCCGAGTGTGCCATGTCATCTCTCTCGAGGGCGGGAAAATATGGTGGCGGACGGACCTTTTTTCCGACTGTAACGTCCTCTGATATCTTCGTGTTCAGTCAGCGGGGGGGTGGGGGGAGGATTGGCGGCAGCGGCGATGGGGATTAAGGTTAGATTTTGTGTTAGTTTCGTGGACTTCTCGTTCGAGTTGGCGCTAGATTGTTGGTTCTGATTCATTTTGATGATTTATTTATTTTTGGTCCCGTTTAATGGCGGGATTTCTAGGGTTTGACGAAGCTATTGGCGGATAACGCGCCCAAGGGCATGAAGGAGAACAAGTTCGAGGGTTACTTCGGACGGAAGATTGCTATCGACGCGAGCATGAGCATCTACCAGTTCCTGGTTCGGCCGGCTCATTCCTCGCTCTCTTGCTTGTGTTGTTTCTTTCTCGAGGCTGGTTGTGCTGCACTGGCTTGCCCATTGTGGGGTCAGTTGAGGCGTGTGGTTCTTTGAAATTTCCTGTGTTGGGTTAGGCCGCATGCCAATAGAATTGTTGGGTTTTCATAGCTTTTCTGACGTTCCTCCTTTATGATCGTTCGTTCTGTGCGAATGTAAGCTAACCTTTTAGCTTTAGAGTGTAAGTAAACCTTACTGGACGGTAAACTTATGGACAATTTATTTCCCTTCTGCCCAGATTGTGGTTGGAAGGACGGGAATGGAGACACTGACGAATGAGGCTGGTGAAGTGACGAGGTAACACTTTTCACGCTCCTTTTTTTCTTGAACTGTACGAAACATGCGTGCAACTTCGGCCACCAAATGTATGGAGAAGATGCACTTTTCGACTCTAAGTTGCCCCTACCGGCAGGGTATCGTGGTCATTTAGACAACTAGGGATATAAACTGACAATAAATGTCTGATTGACTGCCATGCCTCGTCAAGTAGGTGGGTAAAAGAAATAAGTGACGTCTTCCTACGATGTAATTATCACATTCTGCGTGTAATTTTGCAGTCTAAGTACAGGAAAATTGAGATCCTATTCTTCTATTTCATGTCTGCCACAGAAAACTCAGAAGGCCACGACATATGATATACTCTAAAAATCTTTTAATAGCATGCCCTGTAGCTGAACACGATTAGCTGTTTGAGTTAACTCAAAATGTCAACTGGGTTGTTAATCGTTGTCAAATTTCTTGGTGAGTTTGTGATACTTATTCTGTGTCCTCTATTTGTGCATGTAGTCATTTGCAAGGAATGTTCACTCGAACAATCAGACTCTTGGAGACCGGAATTAAGCCTGTGTAATGCTATTTTCTCTTTTAATAGCATTGCTTCCACTTTTCTTTCTTTCTTCAATCTTCCAAAATGGTCGTGAACTCATTCTTCTCAAAAGTTGAATTGCAGCTATGTTTTTGATGGGCAGCCACCAGAGCTGAAGAAACAAGAGCTGGCAAAAAGGCATGCTGTTTACAGTGTAGAAAGAATTACTTGTTTGCATTGATATTTAAAATAACAATTGTTTGATGACCAATGTGTCATGTTATCTGGTGTACGCAGGTATTCAAAAAGGGCAGATGCCACAGAGGACTTGGCAACAGCATTGGAGGTGATTACTTATACTTTCATTATTCCATAAATAGTTTTTTTGTAATCTTTCCACTGGTTTTTTACTTGAACTTGATGATTTTACAGAATGGAGATAAGGAGGGAATCGAGAAGTACAGCAAACGAACTGTTAAGGTGGGTGGCTCTTCTATTCCACGTTGAAATACCATTTGAATGGAGTGTTTGTAAAGACGCTCCTGTATCTTCAGTAATCATAAATTGTATAAAAGTAACAGCATCATATGAATATCTGTGTATATAATTTTTAGTTTTGATATCTTGCAGTAGAGGTTGACTAGATAGATTCAATCAAGGCAACATTTTTTTTGGAAAAAAATCTTTATTAATTCAGCGCATGTCATGTTCTCAGGATCATTATTATGGTTTCCTCGCATATCATCAATTTAAGAGATAATTATTTATCAGACTATGAAGAAAAAAATTTATTTCAGATGTAATTCCTCTAACTAGAGCTACTAGATTTGTGCTCGTGAGAAGTGCTTGCAGTTGTGCTGGGACTTCGAATCTGAAGACGATATCCTCAATCTGTTTGAGATTACGTTTGAAAACATATCTAGAAACATTATCTTTAGTATTAAAAGATTAAAAATATTTTCAACTTCAGTTGGACATAGCAACGAGTATTTATTTACTCTGCTTTCTGGACTGTAGTGTCCAACCTTGAAATGCTCAGTGAATTACTGCACACACACATTCAAGCACGGCAAGCTAGATATTTTAGTTGAACATGATCTGATTGGTTTTTCACTTCTTTTTTATATCAGGTGACTAAGCAGCACAATGAAGACTGCAAACGTCTTCTTAGACTTATGGGTGTGCCTGTGGTTGAGGTGAATTGCTTGACTGTTTTTGATTCATTATTTTTTTCTAATAAATTGTGTACATTAATCGTGTATACACTAAAGGATGACTACTTGCATTAGTTACTGATGTGTCTAGTAGTGACATTTATGTGTTGAGTGAAATTATATGATTCATTATTTGCATCATACTGTCGCATGAATGTAAAATTGTCTCATCTTGGAATGCCATCACACTTACAAAATTGAATCATGCTAATATATATCTCGAGCATCAGAAAAAAAATCCACTTGCTTTTGGACGTTAATATTTCATTTTTCTATTGTGGTTTGTAGGCTCCTTCTGAAGCAGAGGCAGAATGTGCTGCACTTTGCAAAAGTGGGAAGGTAGGAAAAACAGGCTGTATGCATCATCTTGCGACTAGCAGAAGATATATGTGTACTGTATGTTTCAGGTGTATGCTGTGGCATCGGAAGATATGGATTCACTAACTTTTGGAGCTCCTAGGTTTCTTCGTCATCTGATGGATCCCAGTTCAAAAAAAATTCCAGTTATGGAATTTGAAATCACAAAGGTGCGTTTGATTCTACTGCTTTAATTGAGTTTTAGATCCATTGCTTTATGCCGCATCCTTTGTTTTCAGGTTCTGGAGCAGTTAGAACTCACCATGGAGCAGTTTGTAGATTTGTGCATACTTTGTGGTTGCGACTATTGTGACAGTATAAAAGGTACTTTACTGTAGGTTGTTCTTATAACTTGGGATATGTACGACTTTACTGGCCGTGGGACATAGACTGTATATTGCAGCCTTAGAAATCGACACCAGGGTACAGCTTACCATAGGACTGTATGGCTGTTCACTATTCATGTGTAAGAAAAGTTCAATTAATTGTGCCGTTATGTGAATCAAAGACTGCCATGCAGTTGACTGGGCACACTGAAGAGCACTAGTTACAATCACATGTTGCCCTGAAATGGAGTTGGCCTGAGTCTGGGCTGTGAACTGAGTGATTTGGAAAATTTTCAACCAGATTCATTGGTTTGACAGATTGTGGGCTATGAACGGTTGATGGCTGAGTCTTTAATGTCCGTTAGTTTCCCAAAGTTATTACATTTGTTATTTTGACGAGGTCTGAATTCATCTTGATGTCAAAGTTTGGATGAACTCTATGTCTAGGAGAAATGAGATTATTGGGCTGAGTTAGTTTATTTCGGCATTGTTGTTTTTGTGTTTCTGACACCTGAAAGGAAACGCAAACAAAGGGTCGTTTGTCTTCCTCTTATGAACATTGATATGAAGGTAAACCGTCATTAATTATAGCATAGAAAAGTGGAAAAACGTTGATAATGTCAACTCGGGGCATCAGCTGTGCTAAATTTTATGGAGCAAGTCCTTTATTGATCCCAAGTGTTGTATCTTAAGAAACGCTTTTCTTTCCAGCTATTTAGTGCGGATTAATTTGCTATAGCATATCAAGATCATTTTTGAAGGGCTGTTGGGTTTTAGCCTTTCCTAATAAAGTTACATTATGGTTCATTCTCATCAGCAAATCTTATTTGGAGTGGTATCTACCTTACGAGGATAGCTAACAAATCTCAACTTCACTTTTGAGCCAGTGGTTTCTTTTGGTTCAAGGACTTCAGCCAAGCCTCTAACACCTGTCTTTTAGATGTGTTCCAAGAGTGTATTGCCATATTCTAATAGTAGCGAAGAAATCAGAAATTAAAATAAAGATGGGTGTGTAAAGTCTCTGAATGTCATGTTGATTACATCATGTAGCCCACATTTTTATTGTTGTGAAAAGCTCTCATTAACCTTTTATCTTTTTTTGCTTATGTTTCATTGTACGCTACAAAATCTTTGCTTTCCAGTCTTGCCAATAATGCGTGATTTGAGTTGTGAACCGTGGTGCTTGTTAAGTTTTACCGTTTTTAGTTCATGTCTCCGGTTTTAGTTCTGTTCTTTGATCTGGAAAATTCCAAGTATAATCTACTTCTATCCATTTTTGTTGATTTGTGATTAGAAAGGCATGTTCTCTGAGTCTCAGAAAATTTGACGGTGGGCTGCTTGATGTCTTTGGGTAGATTAAATATCCTTCATATTCAGAGAAACTGAAATTAATGAATTGCATTTGTATGTTTTTCAACTACATCTATTCTAATTCTGTGGCTTATGATTATAGGCATTGGAGGACAGACCGCTCTGAAACTCATCCGCCAACATGGTTCCATTGAGAATATCCTGGAGAACATCAACAAAGAAAGGTGCATCTCATAATATTTCATTTTGGTTTCATTCCAGGTGGGGTATAAATTAACTGAAAAACTGGTACGTACACATCTTTGTTTTGAAACTGGTACTCATTAAATGTCTCATTATTCTTTGTCTCTGATAGAGATGCTAAGGACTACTAAGCAAATCCTGGAGCAACTTGTCAGTGATTGCATGTTCAAATAATCACAATTCGGCTTTCATTTTAAGTTTTTTCACTGTTTGCTCAAGCATCATTGAGATATGTTTTCTTAGAAAAATTTATGGAAACTTTTGTTTAGGTGCCATCTCTTCTATAGTTGTCTGTGATCAAATGTCATGTAGTCCACTACTAACACCATCATCTAATATTAAATTATTATCATAATAAAATAGGTTCAAATTCCTCATTTAGATTGAAATAAGACCAAGATGTTTAGTCGAATAGCTTTAACTTTTTTTATTTGAATTGTGGTTGTCCATTAAAGCCAATGATGAAGATTATTTGATGTTGACATTCATTTGTGTACTTTTAATTTAATGTATACACATGTATTTCATCTGATTTGTCCGTCATAAAGTTATTCATTTGTATTTTAAAACAGTCGAATGCATTTGAATTTTATACTCTTATAGGTTACACCTGTCATCTGACCTGGGTTTTTAGGCAGTAGAGTGATGAGCTACTACGTTTATTGGATTAAAAACATTTGACACGAGCAATTCGTACTCGAATAAAGGACAATCATCTCTGAAGTCTTCTCGAAATGTGTAGCCTAGAGTATGATAAACCTCAGAAATGCTAGGTGGAAGAGATCTTGTTGACAGGCTTCATTCTCCACTAGAGGAAAGGTTATACATCTTGCCATATGCTTCATGCATTAATTTTAGCCAATGCGTTGTAAACCTTTCATATGATTTTTTCAATTGCTCAGTCCAGCCTTATTTTCTTCTGCTTGTGGGGTGAACATTTGAAGGTGATTTGAAAGGTGGGATTTCGGGGAAAAGAATGGAGCAAAATAATTGATGCATTTGTTCATACTAATTAGTTATTTAGTCGCACGCTTCCCTCACAGTCGCTTGCCAAAAACCCATTAGAAACAACTTTATGACATGAAAGAATCGAAGGAAACATGTTGTGGGGTTGTAATAAGATGAAGACGCCACTGGAGAACCTAGTTGAATGTTGGTGTCTTTCTGGGTACAGTAGTCCGCAGGTTACTATACTTCACCAAGTTGTACTTGGGGAGTGTAGTAAGTAGTTCATCATTTGGCTCATCCCATCTCTTTTCCCTCTGATGCTTACATGTGAGTATTTTCTAATACAGGTATCATATACCTGATGAATGGGCATACAAAGAAGCGCGGCAGCTTTTTATGGAACCATTAGTGTCTGCTCCTGATGAACAATCTGAACTCAAGTGGACGGCCCCAGATGAGGAGGTGATTAAAGCCCTAGAATTATTATAATTGTATCGGACCTTTTGTGAAATATTGAAGGATCAATTTTTATTTTTCAGGGTCTCATAAAATTTCTAGTCAATGAAAATGGTTTCAACAATGACCGAGTGACAAAGGTACGTTCATTATTTCATCTTACAGCCCATTTAGCCTGCTGTTATCATTTATTTTTTAGCCATAGCAAAGCTGGAGCTTTGAGTTTGAGTGTTCCGTTTTTCATTTTGCAGGCTGTAGAGAAGATTAAAGCAGCAAAGGATAAATCATCTCAAGGCCGGTAAGTACATGCTGCTGACATTGCATTCTGACAATATGTCCTTCCATCAATTTCTGACGTTATGTACTACTGTTCACAGCTTGGAATCCTTTTTTAAGCCAGCAGTGAGCTCATCGTTGCCAATCAAGCGGAAGGTATGTGCTTCAATTACTCACGTTTTGTTTAAAGTGGGTAGTGAAAAAATTACCATATCCGTAAAAAATGTCATTTCCTGTATCCTTTATCCATATCCATTTCTTGTTCCATGATTTGGTGATGTTCTCACTGTTGGAACTTCCACTCTTTCTTTTTACCCCTGGACACCAATTGTTTGGTCCAGAGCCGAGTCTTGGCTCTATGACTAGCTTCTGCTCTCTTAGCCAAAGGTGCAAGGCTTCTTTAGGCAAGATAAATGGTTCTTAACTGATTATAAGGAATTTGGATAAACAGAAACGAGAAGAGAAGAAGAAGAAACTCAGAAACCCTAGGCTTGGATGTGACTAACGGAGAAATTTCTCACACCCTGGTTCCCCGGGCTAGGTTACGTTTATTCTATTGGGACGGTGGCCAAGTGCATAGGAGGGCCCAAAAGAGAATGGACGTAACACGATGAGAATGAACTCTTCTTGAGGGGAAGAAACATTGAAAAAACACTGTCGAGCGATTTTGTAGCCTTCTACGAAGGAGGCTACTTTACTTTTAAATTTTTAGCTTAGACACGAAGTACCCTTGTTGGCATTGCTTCATCTCTGATGTAAACCACTGAAATACCGATATTTGGACTGATTTGCATTCATTTCTACTATGATAAGATAAGGGGTTGCTAAAATGGTAGTATGAGAAAATATTATGATTGAGATAACTCTTTCCCCAGATCAGGGTTTTGGATTTCGTTTGTTTACGAACCCTTCACCTGCTTCCCCCATCTTAACACCATTCTCCATATGTTCAAATGTGTTGTTCTTATTTTCTTAATGGGTCCTAATGGTTGGACTTTGTTTTTGGTCGTAGCTCGGGATTTATATGCTTATTTGAGCTTGCAGCAAAACATCCGTGAAATATGATGCTTGATTGTGTCTAGTCCAAAAATTTAAAATCTATACCTTGAGACTAATCCTCAGGGAAATATGGATTGCCCAGGAAACTGCTCATCTGGATCCACTGCTTCAGGTTATTCTTGGGGGTTCTGTCATCTGATTTCTTGGGGGTTGGAGGGTGGGTATCCACTCTGATCCTTGAGATTTAAATAGCAACCAATCGAACTGGTGGGCAATTGAGCCATCTCGCTAAGATTTACCGATTCCTGGCTTGATCTGGCTTCGTAAAAGGTCACCTATCCCTCTCCAAACCGCCCTTCTTGCAGTCAGCTGAAGGTGTACATCTGTCTGTCAATAGGGGAGAAGAAGGTGAGAATTGACAAAAACAAAAGTTCGAGGGAAGAATCGGAAAAAGACATCCGTAGATGAGCTGCTGTAGCTTGTTGGTTCCCAAACTTCCTGTCCTTCAGAATAGATTGTCCTTTGGTGATTCTGATCCCAATCCAGATTTGATCGGGCCAAACCAATCTCTGGTTTCGATCCACTATGCCTTCAATCAGCTTCGCTGCACGTCGGGTTCAAGGCATTAGGGATGTCTAGACGTATTGACAATGGTACTTAAAATTCTGTGTCGATGACCGACCACTGTTTATGCCTGTATATTTCTTCAGGGCACTTCATTCTGATGACCACGATCACTGCGTGATAGCTCAGTCTGCTCCCATGATAACAACCCATCCGGCCTTGATTCTGGCACCGTTACCAGGAACCTGTTCTGTCATCTTTGCTCTGACCGCTGTGCGCCATCTCATTCTCACTTGCCATCTTATTGATGTATTAGTTTCATCTCTTATCCTCATTTTGCTACTTACATCATCCAATTGTTACTGAAGATGAGGGCATACAATCGTTTTCCATGTGGCTTACTTTCGTAATAATTATCTAAGCTTTCTATTTGAAAAACTGCATCTGGAGGATCTTATTTTTTTCATGTTATCGTTGGTCCTCGTGGAAATTTTGAGCATGTTCACGTCAAGAAAAAAAATATTAATCTGTATTTAAATTAAGTACAGAATGAACAATACTACTACTACTACGTCCGTGGTCACCTTGTTCAGCCCTGCTGCTGTATTTGGTTTGATCAGCATTCATGCTTTCTGTAACTCTATTCTCTCTGGGTGACAGAAAAATCAATGCATGCTGGGGGTTCCTAATCAAGTACGCAACTCTAAGTTGATCTCACTGCAAGCTGTTACTCATCGGAACGCTAAAGTTCCTGGCAGCTTGCTTCGGTCTGCCCTGGGGATCGGATTAGAACGCTTGAAGGCTTTTCCGCAGGGTTCTTGCTTCAGCATATGATGCCAAGAACATCTCCTAATCCTCATTATCTACCAATTACTTTTTTCTCGAGGTATTCAAATTCTTCAAAATTGCCCATTTTCGGGCAAGATTGGTGTCTGGTTTCTTTTTCCTTTGCCACATTTCATCTGCGCACACTTCCAAGCCTTCCTGATATGATCGTCAGTTTAGAGCTTTTCTTATTCCTTTGAGAATCACCCGGAGGCCATACGATCCACGCAGAAATTGCATCAAAAATATTGCCTGCGGCGTTTGATCCCAATCATTGTTCTGTGGTGCAATCAGAATCTCGAAACTGAGATGGGCATTCTCATTTTTGTCGGATTACATTCTTTCCGTTTTCCAGCTTTTGTTGGTGAATCGATCGAAATTGGGTTGCTTTTGTTAGCGAGGCTTTGAATGTGTTCTTTCCATTCCTGTAGAATTCTTATGAATCGCCTTCTTTGGAAGAGTTCTGATAAGTTTCTCGATGATTTCTCCCCCAGGAGACAGACACGAAGACAGCCAAGGAATCTGCGAGCAAGAAGTCAAAGCCCCCTGCTGGGAAGAAGAAGAAGAAGTAGTTGACTTCAAACGGTCAGGACCCGACTAGTCAACGCTGTGGAGAGATCAAGAATTTTGTTCCACCGCTCTTTCTGCCGTTGACTGCTCTCTTATGTACGCCACTCGGCTGAACCCCGTTCCCTCCCTGAAACACCGTTGGCCCCTCTGTGATCTCTCCCTTTTGCCATGAATAATTCAAAGAACCCACTTCACCAAAACAGGGAAAAAAAAGAAAAGAAAAGGAAAAAGGTGAAAGAATGAGCTTGTGCGAGATTCTTCTGAAGTCAACGTCTTGACATTGTCAACAAAGATGGTAGACGTCTCCATATAGGGCTTACTTAAAGCACTGAAAGAGCAAGACAAGACATCTGGCTGGTCTTCACTCATTGTCAACACAAGAGAAAGTGTTCTTCCGCCTCCGTTGGCCTGTTCGGTGGCGAGATGTTTCCAAAGCTCCAATCTTTCCAACATGATCGTAGGAACCGGTAGTAAGAAAATGATGGGCTCTGCTCAGAAGTCTGACCTACCCAGTGGGAGAACCAGTTGTTCAGTCGAGAAATGGAGGACAAGACCGTTGAGATGTTGCTTCTGATATTGTCTGATTTTATTCCAATCGACAAAACAAGAAACGGGTACTTGAAATTATTGACCGCAATTGGATGCTTATGAATTCGAGATGATTTTCTCGGCGATGGAAGATCTTAATCTCAGTGAGGATTAGTTTAGTAGATAGATGCATGTATTCATCTAAATGACCCACCAGGAGTGTCTAAGAGAGAGAGAGCGGTGTGGGAGGACACGGCGCCTGTCGGAAGCTTGGCATCCTTCCGAGGAAAGTCCTCGTCACACCCTCCGCTGGCTTCACTCGGCAGCCGGGTGCCCTCCGACGGGGAGCGCCGATACGGCCAGGAGTAGAAGCTCAACCCACTCCACCCACCTCCCCCCAAGAGCAGGTCCACACGAATTTTCCTATCTTTCCCGCTCCACTTTCTAAAAGACGATTCCAGACCTCCCCCACCCACAGAAGAATAACCCCCTGAAATCCTCTCCACATCTCTCTCTCTCTCTCTCTCTCTCTCTCTCTCTCTGTGGCTCGAAGGTCTCTCCTTTGGCGAGTTGTGCAGATACCCGAGACCAGTAGGACGGAAGATTACGAATCTGCAGGATATGGGGAGGCGAGTAGCCGAGGAACCTGGGCATTCAGCGGAGAGGGAATGTGGAAAGGGAGGAGCCCGCCGCCCAAAACGTAGGCATCTTCTACAGGCTCCATTGGAAGCTACGAGTCAGTCCACCACTTGTCTATGTAGGAAAGCACTTGCAGGCAGCGGAAAGTAGCCTTGAATGGGGAAGAACATTAAAGAAGCTCCCCATCTCGGGTCCACTGGGGAGTGTATAAATATGCCCCCCGGGGCAGCTGCTTCTTCCATCCAGCCTTCCTTAGCGGCATATCTGAGAGGGAACTCTGTTTGTTCGGGGGTAATGCCCGCCAAGACCCATCCCATAATCTCGTTTATTTCTTTGTCTTTTCATTGTTATTGGTATCCGTAGTCGCACTCCTCATTAATTTTCTTCTTCACCTGTAATTTATGATTTTGGGCTGACAGGATAGGCTAGGAGCCGATCACTCGTCTAGTTCTTTTGTGAGCTCTGATTCATTGAAATCATCCGAATCTTCTTCAACGATCTGTGCTTCATAAACTCCCCATTTGCTGAATTTCCGCCATTTTATTGTCATCTGGGTCTGGATCAGTTAATTTTATATAAAAATAGAAAATAAACAAACGCGTGGTTTTCAGAGGTCCATTTAATAAAGTTCTCATGTGCATCATATCATACATTTGGACTCTTTTAAATCACCATGTTAGATGCCTGATCTGATTTCCCGCATCCTGATTTCCTTCTGCAGCTTCAAGAATAGAAAATGGAGGCGATCATGTGCAAGCCCGTGTATGAATGCCTCCTGTTTGGTAAGTTTTGGGACATGTTTATTTTATTTTTTTATTTAAAAAAAAAAACTTGGGAGAAATCCTATGTCTTCTTCCTCCTCCTCCTCCTCCTCCTCTTCATGTTGCATGATCAAGACCTGAGCACAGGAAGTACTCTTAAAACTCTCTTGGACTGACTAGATTCTGTGGATTTCTTTCTCTACAATTGCTCCAGACCTGGACGACACCCTCTATCCCTTGAGCCTGGGCATCAATTCGGCCTGCCGTGAGAATATAGAAGGTGGGTTGGATCACAGACCAATCCCCCCGTTAGAACTCTTTGAAATCTTATTTTCCCGATTAATTCTAATATGCCTGTACTGATCCCCAGAGTATATGTTGAATCATCTTAACATTGACCGAGAACTGATCCCGAAGCTGTGCCTGGAGCTGTACAAGGAGCATGGGACAACGATGGCCGGCCTCAAGGTAATAACAACAATCTCCCATCATATACCAAAAAAGGAAAATAAATCTGGGATAAACCTCCCCTCCTCCTCATAATTCTCCAGGCTCTGGGCTATGAATTTGACAACGACGAGTACCACGCATATGTTCATGGAAGGCTGCCCTACGAGAAATTGAAGCCGGACCCGGTGCTCAGGAACCTTCTCCTCTCGATGCCCCAGCGGAAAATAGTATGCCCGTATTAAAAAAATCAGTGTTTATTCATCAGATAAATAAAAAAAAAGAATTTCCCTCTAATATCTGTCTTTGATCGGTCATCCAGGTCTTCAGCAATGCCGACCAGAACCATGCTGCTATAGTCCTCAGTAAGATGGGCCTGGAAGGCTGCTTTGAAGGGGTCATATGCTTTGAGACTCTCAACCCAGCAGCTCCTCTCACCGACAACAAGACCTTGGAAATCTCTGTGGAGCCACCAAGTGGCTGCGGCTCGCTCCCACCGCTGCCGCCCAAGTCAAAGATTCTCTGCAAGCCATCAGTGGAAGCCATGGAAGCCGCCTGCCAGATTGCAGGCATCGACCCAAAAAAAACGGTAAGATGGGCTAAAGAGGACTTTCCTTTATTCTGGGTTCCATGACGAGTTGACTAAGAACGCCGCCTGTTTATGAGCAGATATTCTTTGACGACAGCCCTCGGAACATCACGAGCGGGAAGTCTGTGGGTCTCCACACCGTCATTGTGAGTTCAATTTCTTCATGCATTATATCCAAGACGGGTTCCAGAAATAAGGAGGGCGGGGGGGATAAAAAAAACTGATGATCTCTCACTTAATTAGAATTTAGGACCTTTATTGAATTCAGCCCAAGGGCTTTGTTCATCATTTTAAATTTTTTTAATTTCTTTCACATAATTAGAATTTAGGACCTTTATTGAATTCAGCCCAAGACCTTTGTTCATCACATAATTAGGATTAAAAAAAATTCATTGGATTCAAATCATTTTATTTTGATTTACCTCCCCTGGAAGATAAAATAAAAAGGCTCATGTGTTCAATTGATTTTTAGAATATAAAAAGCAGGTTGGGAGAAATAATTCAGCAGGCGGTGGGTCCTTGCGCATCCTAGAACTTGAATGGATTGAAATAATTTCATCTAGAATTGCGACCCACCAACAATCTGATCAGAACATAAAATAAAAAATAAAAATAAATAAGATTAAACCACCCTGACAAATTAAGATTAAAAAAATTGCCATATCCTCTGTTGATCCAGAATAGAAACCCTCCTGATCCTTGGAGATGAATGCAGATTGGGAGCTCGGCACCAGTCCCTGGCGCAGACTTGGCCCTCGAAAGCATCCACAACATCAAGGAAGCTCTTCCCGAGATCTGGGAAGATGTGGACCAGCTGGAGCTCGTCGTGCCCCCCAGTGCCATCGAGACTGTGGTCCTCGCATGAGTTCTTCTTCTCCATGCGATTACGCTGAGCCATTTTGCACTGTAATCACTCACAGCAGATACCATCATCTCGTGCCTCTGGGATGAGGCAATTTCTGAATGGTCTCTAGCTAGCATCATGGAAGAGCGTGGAGGTGGGATCACGCAGATCTTCTCCAAGGTGTATCCTTTGATCTCTCCTTTCATCAAATCTAATGAAAAATCAGGCCTTTCAATGCCTGGGCTGCCCGTTTTTCTCCCTTTTTTCAAGCTTTTCATCGCTATTTAATCGCATATCAAAAAAACGAGGAGCGAATTATGAGACGCTCAATCGCCTGGAATTGAGATTTTTTTTTTTGGGTTCAAAAATATTTTAAAGTGGATTTATTTATTTATAAAATGAGCTGACGGATGGTAAGAATTCGGAAACATAAATTTCGTCTTTTTAACCTATGTTAGTATTGATTCTTTATAAATAAATAATGAGTAGCCTTTTGGTGCGTTGAGGGGGAAGGCTGATTGGGAGAGACCCAAACATGAGCAAGATCCAACCTTTTCTATCTGGTTCTCATGTGTGGCTGTGGAACCGGTCGTTAACCCGGCTTCGAACCGGTTCTTGAGAGGGAAAGTCTGTGCGTGTGTGTGTGTGTGTGAGAGAGAGAGAGAGAGAGAGAGAGAGAGGCAGAGGGTGAAAAGGGAGGAAGAGGAGGATGATCTCTGCCTCCGCCACGGCCCGCCCCCTTCCCCACGCCATCCTCGCATCCCACCACCACCATCCCCGCCAGAACCCTAGTTTCTGCTTCCCCTCGACCTCCTCCCCCGCCGGGAAAATCCTGGCATGTGCGGCTAGAGCGTCCAACGGCCCTCACCCGCCCTCCTCGTCGGAGATTCCCTCCTCAGAAACCGCCCCTCTGCTGCCTCTGGATGATGAAGTGGATTCAGCCTCCGACCAGGGAAATGAAGACGCTGAGAGCGTCGATGGCCTTGAAGTCGAGGTTGCGAACGCGGGGAGGAACCGGCGGCGGATACAGGCGCGGATCAGCGTGGACGCCGCCCTGGAGACTGTGTGGGCCGTTCTGACCGATTACGAGGGCCTCGCCGAGTTCATTCCCGGCCTCGCTGTTTGCAAGCTTATTGAAAAGAGTGAAGGCTTCGCCAGGCTCTACCAGGCAAGTCGATCTATATATATATATATGTGTGTGTGTGTGTGTGTGTATCGAGAGGGAGAGGGGGAGAGAGAGAGAGAGAGAGAGAGAGAGAGAGAGATCTGTGGAATTGTCTCTCTTGGTTGACTTGGGCGAATAGAAGAAATATTTTGTGATGCTAGATTCCTACAATTCAAGTCTGTTTCGGTTAGCATTCATCTAATGTTCCATCTATTGAGACTACATTCTCATGCAGATCGTTCGTAATGTTCTTCTGCTCGGTAGAATTTCACCCCAAAAAAATTAGAAAGCGGACCTGTTTCGATTCAGATCTCTCCTAGTCTTCTTCTCCGCGCAAGAATTTCACCCGAAAAGCTAGACTAAGATGAACATGCTTGGACTAAGACGTCTCGTACTCTTGTGCTACTTGCTAGTTTCCACCTGGAATGAATGCTTTTAGAATAGTTGATTTCCGATTCCTCCTACGCTGGTTCTCTCTTTGCTGGCTTCTGCCTGGGTGGGAGGGAAAAAGAAAAGCTTTTGAATGCAGATTCCCTGTGCTGTTGGTCTAGTTATTGGCCACTACCTACACAGAAATTAAGAAAAAAAAATCCTCCCAATGAAATGAAAGAGATTAGAGTTCATTTATCTTAGTTATTGCGACTATGTTCAAACACAGATTCGTTTTCTTCTTACTCTACTTGATGGATTCTATCCTGAACTATAGAGAAGTAATAAAGTGATAATGTTTTCGCATGGTTGCCGTTGTTATGCCTACCCATCAGCTCCATTTCAGATTTTTTCCAGTATAAGTTCATATTTTTTCGTCTTGTTCCCTTTTTCTGTCATGCGCCTCAATGCTAGCAACTGGGTTCGATATCAATTATTGTAAATAAAAAATAAAATTATTTATTTTGTGATACTAACCCATCTGTTGATGTTAATTTTTTTTTTCCCATATCCCTCAACGCTTGCATCTGGATTTTAGCCTTGATGGAATTAAAAGAGATCATTCTTGGGCTACAATTTTCATTGTTCTATTGTCATTCTCTGTGAGTTTAATTAGTCATTTTGCTTATATATATTGTCAGGAAAATTTGAGATAATCCATACCTTTTTAGAGCACCAGGGATAACCTGTTCAGTCTGGGTCGTATAGGTTGGCCAGCAGGATCTGGCGCTCGGGCTGAAATTTGAGGCCAAGGCAACTCTAGACTGCTTCGAGAGAGATCTCGAGATTCTTCCTTCCGGTCGGAGGAGAGAGATCGGGTTCACGATGATCGAGGGGGACTTCCAGACATTCACCGGCATCTGGTCCATTCTTCAGGTCAGACCTTTCCTCTCCATTCCCATTGACTTTTTTAATTCCCGCGTAAAATTCTCATAATTTGTACAGCTTCTTCTACACATTATATTTGAAAATGTTTCCTACATTGATCTGGGTTGTTTAGTTCATAATCCCTGAAGAGTTTATCGGTGATTAACAACCCTAAATTCGCAATTAATGTTCTACATTCTGATGTTTGGGATCATATGGGTAATTTAGTTTATAATTGCTGATTGGGATCACCTGCCGCAGAGAGCTAGCTGTGGGAAATTAGAACCTTTTTTTTTTTTTTTGGTATGGGTTTTTGTTTTTAATCCCTGAAGAACTCATCATGTGCCACGATTTTGATCAGACATTCGCAATTTATTTTTCAGGTTCCTCGAGCGATTTTCTTTGACTTTTTTTGGGTGGGCTTCTTTACCTCCTTGTATGCTGATCAAAAAAAAAAAAAAAAAGGGACTCAGATATATGATCGGAATATTAGATGGGTATCTTATTTAATTCACCATGCTTAGTAGAAAGATGGAGAACCAAGCATGAGGTAGATTAAGGAGATCTGTAAAGGAACATCAGCCAATAGGGGGTGGGTGTTTGGGATAATTAAACTTCTGGAGGTTTGCACACTGATAATACCCATGATTTGACTTTTTCTTTAGGTCAAATGTGTTGACCCTCCTCTGCGTCCTGATCAGATGCTCCGCATTGCACTCCTCTGACTCCCAGAGCCTCTCATATGCACCCATCAGAGAGACAGAGAGAAAGATAGAAGAATAGAGAGAGAGAGAGAATCCTATTGAGTCGCTCCATGTCCATGCAGGCGGACAGCGGGGATGGTGAAGAAGAGGAGGCGGTGGGACCCACCAGGCGGGAATTCACGACGGTTCTATCTTACATGGTTGAGCTCGAGCCGAAGCTGTGGCTGCCGGTCCGCCTCCTCGAGGGGAGGATCCGCAGAGAAATCAAAGTCAACCTGCAGAGCATCCGAGAGCGGGCCCAGGGGATCCAGAGGCTGTGAGGCCCGGTGACTCTGCGTTGACCGATTTGGGCTCGCATTTCTCTTGTACGTCGATTCATCTTGAGAGAGGGAGGGAGAGAGAGCGAGTGATTGAGCAGCAAGAGAAAGAGAAGAGGAGAGAGAGAGAGAGAGAGAGAGAGAGAGAGAGAGAGTTGTGAGGTCTGCTGCCAGTCCACACGTGGTGGGGCTTTCACCAGAGACATCAAACAACAGACACCGGACAGACTCGGGGCTCTTTTCTCCCACCCAGTATACCTCTCTCTCTCTCATCACTGATTACATTGACCACCGAGGTTTCAGGCTCCACCAAGACGTTGCTGATCTGTCCCGACTCAGCATTTTTTGTCTCAACTCTCTCTCTCTCTCTCTCTCCCCCTCTCTCTCTCTCTCTCTCTCCCCCTCCCTCTCTCTCTCTCTCTCGCCGCTACGACGACGCCATTAAATATTTGGTGCATGAGGTTGTGGGAGGAGGACGTCAGAGGTTACGTAGCCATGCAGCCGGGGAGCGATAATAGCGGCGCCATTGACGGCGGCGACCATCCATCCTGCCGTTTGAGGGCTCGTGCGCTCCTCCCCCGCCTTCCTCAAGTTGCCGTCCCGGGCTAATGAAAGTCAGCGTCCCAACCAGATGGGATTGATGAGAGGCGAGCCAGAAGCTTTCCCATCGGTGGAGTAGCTGAAAGAAGGATGCACACAGATTGAGAGAGACGGATAGAGAGAGAAATATGGTTATGGAGAGAGAGAGAGAGAGAGAGAGAGAGAGAGAGAGAGAACTGGAAGGCCTGCTCTGGGACTTCGAGGATGGAGACTCTGGGAACAACGTCACAAGATTATCCGATCCTTCCACCGCTCCCGAAGAACTCGTGCAGGAGGAAAAAGAGCCCTGAGATGATGGCACCAGAAGTGGCGAGAATTCCAGCGGAGGGGCGGCGAATGGATCGTTAGAAGATCAAAAGATGGAGAAGAACGGCAATGCAGATGGGCGTTTTCATGATGGAGAAGAATGAGATGGTGATGGGCCGCCGAGCAACCGTCTCTACGAGCTGCTCCAGATAGAGCTCATGGAAGAGCAGAATGCCTGGGCCTCCTCCCCCTCAGTCTCCAGCAGGAGAGCAGATGGTGTTCCGCAGGATCCAGAGCTGGCCGTCTGCCGTGCCCAGTCCTGCTCGGAGAAGGAAGAGCACGGACCAGAGCAGCGGATGTAGAAGAAGAAGAAGATGAAGAAGAGATCCCTGGTGGGGTCGAAGATGAAGCTAGTGTACAGCAAGTGCAAGTCCCTCCGCAAGAAGCTCTTCCCCTGGAGCTACGTCTGGGACAGTGATCAAGCCCAAGATGATGGTGATAAGGCGGCGTCCGTCCTCATCTGCCATCAGGAGGTGCAAGTCCTGAAGGCGCTCTCCGAGGCCCTCGAAGCCACCGATGCAGCTTTCATGGACATGGTCGAGAGGGCACTGGACAGGAACCCCGAGCTGGCGTTCATGGGCTCTTACGTTCTCGTCATGCTGATGAAAGACAAGGATGTGTACGTCATGAACCTCGGCGACAGCTGTGTCATCCTGGCACAGGAGAGGCTTGAGTGTGCAGCATCTCAATCCGAACGCGACAAACCAGCTTCTCATGCACCTACAAGATGAATGCAGAGGTTAGGAGCTGATAGGTTCCCACACGATCTCTTGTTCTAAATGGACCATCGTGGGGATCAGATTAAGAATAGAGCTGACAAGATTGATGAAGTAAAAAATGTTTCATATAATAGAAATTCAATGGAGAACAGAGTACACGGTTTTAAGAGAAGACAGCAAGAGATTAAAGGAAAGATAGAGAGGAGGGAAGAGTAAAGAGAACGTTGAAGGAGTTATCTTGATAGTGACCGATTCGAGATGATCAATGTCCAAATAACCACTAATTATTTTTTCTGCCCTCCCTCTCTTCTTATATTGATGATATCTTTATAATACTGAGGAACCCATGATCGTGTGTCCACTTTTGCCATGTTCATTGTCTTGCCTCACAATCCTCCATAGTTTTTGGTTGACCTCTAGGTTTGCAGTGGTTGACTTTGTCTACAAAGAATGTGAACGCCGCCCTTCACCATCATTTTTGACATGGGTAAGAAGTTTATGAGAGGATTTCATTAAGATTCCTCCCTAGAAATTTCACCTTGTCGGCAAGGTGAAACTTTAGAAGTTACTGAATCAAACTCCTGGCTGACTCCGGTGTATTTCCAGAATCCATAAGATTCTTCCACTTGATTAACATATTGATCTTATGTAAACCATGTCAAACTTCAAGGGAATCTAAAGGTTGTATGGACCAATGGAAATTTTCATCCAACAACGATGAATAATGTAGGTTGTCAAGAAGAGACCTTCAAGCCTTCTTGAGCCAAGACATGTGAAAAATGAAATGAATGGTAACTGTGGTTGGAAGGTTGAGACAGTAAACTATCAACTCAATATGCTTCAATATCTAAAGCAGATTGAAGAAATGAGGAGCAAGTTTCTCATAAAGTCATCAAACAAGGAACTTCAATAAATGTGACTAAAGGCAAAGGTATACAAGATCACCTATAGAAAACTTAAGATCTTGACACTTTCATATGTTCGATGACCTTATCTGGTCTTGGGCTCAAGTGAGATGATCCTTGAATTGGTTGTATATGTTATTCCATTCTTGTAGCTATTAATCTAAATCACAAAATTAGGTGAAAAATGATTCATAACGGAGGATGTTTAGTGAATCTTGCTCGTAAATGGTCTTAAAAAAAGTAGTGTGTAGACAAATGAAAAGTCATATTGTATTAAAATTTTGCCCAAGTGATCTAATGGCACTATTAACATGGATGATCACTAGAGAAATAGCATAGATGAGTTTCAAGACTATCATTCACCACCTCTATTTGGTTGCCTGTTTAAATATGATATGAGCTTGTAAAGTGTAAGATAGTCCTTTGTAATTTGAATAACTCATGTCAAAAGTAGCTCATGATTATATAATCTCTATCAATAATGATAGAAGTAGATAATTGTGTAGACAAATGGTATCTCAAATGACAATGTTAGTGACATCTCACATCGTAAATGGATGTGTGAGAGAGAAAAATATATATATATTTACTCATTCAATCCACAAGTACTAATAAATTAAGTATTTTTATTTGGGTAATCTTTTGATGAAATCCATGAGAATATATCTCATATTCAATTTAGAATGGGCAAAGGTTGTAACAACTTTGTTGGAATGAGTTTTTAATTTATTTTTCTGACAAGTAGAGAAACTAACTTTTTATAGTATTCTTAATTCTAATCCAGCACATGTTTTGACTAAGTCTCTTATAAGTTCACAAGAATCCAAAATGGCCATCAAATGTTGAATCATAGAATTCCTTGAGAAGGTGAGAAATAAAAAAAAGAGGTATACAATGTTAGATACAGCCCATTAGAGGGCTCAGTTCATGTCTCTCTCTCTCTCTTTCTATAAATAGATGTTTGTAACCTCTTCTTTAATTAATACATTTTAGTTTTACCATTTATATGGTATCAAAGCCTTTTTTTTTTTTTACCCTAAAAAACTAGGGTTCTTTGTGCCGCCACTGCCGCTCTACTACCTTCGTATAACAACTTTTTTTGGCAACCACTGCCACCACCTATTTGGGCCACCACTACCACCCCTTGGGGTCGTCGTCGCTGCCTCTCAGGGCCGCTCTCACCCCGTCATGCCATCGCCGCTCTACTACCTTGGTATCCCCTCTTTTTTTTCTCTTCTTTGGGCTGCTGCCGCTGCCGCCCATTTGGGTCACCACTATTGTCCCTTTTGGCTGCCGCTACCGCCCCTTCAGGCCATTGTTATTGCCTCTTAGGGCCGCCGTCACCCCCCTCTCAAGGTTGCCACTCTAATCAGGCTCTCGCAACTAATTTCTGCTGGCCCAATTCAAACCGGCCTGAATCAAGTGAGCCAGTCCAAGACGACCAGAAGACCACTCGGACAAGCTAGTGACCATTTTTTTTGCCCCACTTGACACCTCTGGGTCCGATGGCGTCTTCTGAGTATGATGATTCATTCCCATCATCTGCTCCACCACCGATCCCACTTGTTTCATTGCTGGCTCCTATTGATCTACTATTGATACCTCATTTAGTAGAAGCACTATCCACGGCACACCATTATATCACAGCCCAACTTACTCGCCCTTCATATACCTTTGATGGTCATAACTATGCTTCATGGGCCACAAGCTTTGAGGACATTCTTATAGCTCATCACCTGGTACATCATCTGACGGAGCCTTTGTGTACTGACTACTCTAACTTATGATACATGGTCTCAACTTGACTTTATTATTCACTCTTGAATGTGTCAGAATATTCTTTCAACTATTGCTCAATCTCTCTCCTATATCAAGTCTGCGAGCACACTATGACGTATCATGAAGACTATGCACATAAAAAAGATCAACATCATTCACACAGTGGAAATTTTTGAGTCTATATTTACTAAAAAATAAGGTGATTAGTCCATTCAAGATCACTTTGGTCGACTCCAAGCTCTTCTACAAGAGTGGTCTCTGTATCAACCACTCACAATTGACATGCACACCTTGGAGCAATATCGCAATAAATTAATCATCAAGGTTTATCTTAGTGGTCTTCAACCTTCTATTACTTATCAAATATGTGGTCAAATACTTTATAGTACCCAAGTTTCAGATATAGCATCTATATTTTCCTCAACTCTTTGGGTGAGCACTAGAGCCCCTTTATCTCTCGCATCAAATCCATCTGCCCTAGTAGCTTCCAATACTCGTGGCCAGGATGAGGGGCGTAGCTCCAAACCTCTTACTTCTAGTTACAAACACCCTCTTAAAGGCAAGTAGACATTTCTACCTTGCTTATTGTGGCAAGACCACTCATACTTTGAAAAAGTGTTGGAAGGAGTTTGGGAAGCCTAAATGGACTTAGGCTATACTTTCTTCTACTGCTCCAAGCCTAACTCTACTTGGT